GACATATCATTAAAATGTTAACAACTTATTTCCTAAACAAACTCGTCCAAAAATTCTCTAAATTGAGTGAATGATATTTTATTGCTTGAAAAGTACGGTAAAATATCAACATATAAAAACAGTTAAGAAAAATGGTTGAAAAGTCTGTTTTATTTTACCTGTAATGTCATTCATTGTTTATAAATTACTAATTATTTGAAAAGTGAATTTCAACAATGTTGCATTTTTGTATCATAAAGAATCTGATGATTTTACGTAACTGGCTTCAAAAGTCTGCAATGTTTTCTACTCTTGGAAATAGACGTTTATGGCCCTCCGACGTCCTGCCGCTTGTAGCTCTTAATATACATTGTCTTTCTGTTATTTCTATTGCTCTGTTCTATCACATTTTAATCGAGCTCTCTATGACAAAGTTATGCGCTGTTCGTTTTGCCCTTTTGCTCTCTATCTGTTTTGAGTATCAAATTTTAATGTTTAATATAGACAGAAGAAAATTCTGAGCCCTTTATTCAGCAGCCTTCTGTATATCAAATTTATTTTGTTTCAAAAACCTCTTCTATGAAGGAAATCCATCTTAATTTTTGATGGTATTGGTGATGGGAAAACTGCCATTGTAATTTTTTTTTCGAATGATTTTTGAAGCAACTTGTCTTTATGACAATTTGGAATTTCTAGTTTCCCCAAAATTATAATAAATTTATATATCACCATTATTTTGAAGTTAACACAGTAAATATAAATATTTAGATAATTTATAATTTCTATTCTGATTTGAATTTTTTATCCTTAGTTAAATAATGAACTATCAGGAGGCATTCATCCTTTCTCTTAAGAAATATTACCTTCTGTAAGTTAGTATATTTTTTTAGTATCCCCTTTATCTTAAAACCCATAATTTCAACAGATATACAAATGAATCATGCCTTCTAATTTCTTGCACCATTGGTGGAGATAGACAGCATTCAATCAATTTAAATATTAGACGTGAAATATGCAAGATGCCAAGGTCCTTATTGTAATATCCTTAGAAATACAAGTTTCTGATAACGAACCTCCTTTTGAATGTGTAATTGAACGTCTTCTCATTAGAAAATATCATTCTGCAAAAATGGAATCATTCTCAGCATAACTACATCGGCTCAAAGTGTAAATTTGTCTTTTGAAAACCAAATTTTTTTTGCTGGACGCTCTATTAAAAATGTTTGAAAAGTTTGTTTATTGTCTAAAAATAATACATAGATATCTTATCTCTACAAACTTATTGTTGATTAACAATCAATAAGTTAGTTTATATACGCCACAGTATTTATTCTTTCCGTCACTAAAATAAAATTGGATTAGCTTTCTGTTCTTGATCTTGGAGAACGATCTTTTCAAAATGATTTATTTTATTTTCAATTTAAACAGTTTGTATAAGATTTAAAGGACCACTTTCTTCATACAAATCACAACAGGCTGATTGAAAACTGCTGAGTCTACTAAAACACGTTAATCTCCATTCTATAAATATCCAATATATATATATATATATATATATATATATATATATATATATATATATATATATAGTTTTAAAAACAAAAACCATTGATTTTAATTTTAAAAGTCTCTAGGGCCCTTTCAGCCAACATCTCATCAGGAGACAATCGTTGGATTAGCGAAATGAATAATAGAGATATTGAAGAGCAAAAAAAAGGGGAAACACACTAAAATAACGAACAAGTATATATACTTGTAACGAGGAAGGATCGTGTAAATAAATTAGCGAGGGACAGTTAAAATAAAAATATCCCCAACAGATTCAGAGACCTTATAAATTCTTTCTGCCGGCAGAGAGAAGGTTTTCTTAATCCTATACAGACCGATTCCAAAATCTTCAAATGATTATTGGAATCGGCTGTATGAATAATTTAAACCACTCTTTTTTATACAAAAAAACAAGCTATATTCTCAACTAAATTTTGAGCAATAGCCGATTCCATATTCATGGGGAAGATAGCATATTCTATCTATCTTACCAAGTCGTATTTTGGAAGGTACGTGCTGATTAATTCTAGTTTAATGTCCAGTCATAAGAAAAGAATCTTGGAAAAAATAAAGGATATAAGATGGAAGTGGTTCTTGGCAAAAAAGAAATTGGTTCTTCCTCCAGAAAAAGGAAGATTATTTTTAAACCGGATTTAAAAATTGAGAAAAAAAATCAATTCATACATAAACAGAACACTTGCATCATTGATTCCATAATTATTCTCAGACCATTTATTTCGTATTACAGACCCAATGAAAGAACTTGGAGATTTGAACAGAGATGGGTCTGAAATTGAATATTGCGTGAGATAAAAATATCTAAACATGCTAATCACCAGAAGAGTGAGTGGTTGCATCTTCTCGTGCTAACCTTCTAGGCTGACGTGAACTGGAAAGACTATATTTAATCCACTGCCAGGTCAGCTGCTAAGAAAGTTGGTTCAGTGCGGAAAATTTTTCTCTACAGAATCTATCTCACATATCTATATCTGCCTTTCGTCCGTGCTTAGAATATTGTTGTCACATATGGCCTGGTGATGCTGTTATTTATGTAGAGCTACTTGATAAAATCCAAAGAAGATTCAGCAATATTTTTGGTCCTGATCTGACGGCTCGGCTTCAGTCACTTTCCCACCGCCGTAAGGTTGCCTCCCTGTGTCTTTTCTATAAATGCTTTCATGGTAAGTGTTCGGATGAGCTCTTTGCTGTCTATATTTCTGAGCTGAGGTATGATGTACACTATTTACATTATTCGGACTATTGTCCTCATCGTTGTTGCCATATTTATCATAACGTTTCGGCCGTTGTACGCTCCGGCCCACTTCAGGTGGTTGGAATGTCGAACTGAAACCTTTAGTTGAGGTAGATTGTTCTAGTTCCATGTGCCATGTCTATAAGTTATCAGTTATCTCCTGTTAAGTCATCTCTTCAAGTTCTCCACTGACTTCTTCCAGGTATTGAACTCACAACTCTTTGGGTCCAGTCACTGGATCTAACCAACGCCTTTATCGACTGTGCCATGTGTCCTTAAGGGCACATGACACAGTGGATAAAGTTCGATACCTGGTTATATGGTACCTAGATTTTTCGAGTTTAAGCGCTGTACTAGATTGATGTCAATTACAATTGAGTTGGTTATATGCAACCGTAAGTTCTATGCTAACAGTTTCTTCTTTGGCACTTCTCCTTGAGGCTCTATTCCGACAAAATGCCTTCAGCCAACTTTAATCTAAAAAAATTATATTTAATGTCCGTCGCTATCTACCACCCTCGTAATTACTCTTCTTTTGTTTTGCTCTTTAGTAATGTTTCTGCTTTCTAATTCTTCGACACCCTGTAACCCCTTTGTGTCTTAGTGGCTTTACTGCCTTGCTTAAAAAGTAAAACTAATTACCCAGTTCAGGCAAAAATAATTGTTTGAAGTTTGTAATGAAAATACATTTAACTGATTAGTTTATCAGTTTTCATTTTGAACATTGTTGATGACGAGTTTGAATTTGAACCAACTCATTTGCATAAATTCTCTTTTTTCTCTCTACGTCTCTTCTCTGTTTCTATTTCTAACTAGCCTCACTTCATTTTTTTTAAATTATGCCTCTTCTATTAATATTCATTACATCATCTTTTCTTGGTAATATTTTTTCATACTCGTCATTTTATATTCAAAAAGTAACTTTTTTTATTGCTAATTTTTTTTTTTACATATTTCCTTAGTTTTTTTCTATTGTTTTTACAGCTATAATCTCCGCCCAGTCTTTTCGACAGGAATAGAGATTTATCCTTTGTTTCCTCTTTAGGATTGGGTTTCTGATTCCCCTAAAGTCTTCTCATTCTCTTTCACTCGCAACAGCCTCTTGTATCTTAGTAGCATTATCGCCTTGCTTGGGGTGAATTGATTAAAAAATAAACAATCCATTACTCGACCGTTCCTCCAAGTTACTATATACTTTTAAATAAAATCTGAAAAAGTTTTAATATATACTTTTAAATAAAATCTGAAAGTTTTAAAGTTTAGTTTACCTTTAAACATTGCTGTGATGGTCAAATACTGCCGTGAAAATGCCGTGATCGTATAGTGGATCCTCACAGTATTAATTACTGGAATCCATAGAGCTCCTCCGAAGCAGTGCTTATGCTTGGGAGGGGTGATAATGGCGTACTGGTGGGAGAAAGTTGTTGTCGTTGTGGTAGTGATGGTGAGTCAGGGTCGATTTCATGAGCCGCCTATTTGGGCTGGAAGAGCAAATCAACTTTAAGTGTTTCCCCTTTGATACTGTTCGCGAATTATCAATTCCCTTATTGTTCGAAGGTGTTGATAATACGCTTTAATTTTCCGATTCATGGTCACATCTACAGATTTTAGGAGAGTGTCAACAGAATCATGCATGTTCGACATTCTCAGTTGCTTATTCAACCTCTTCGTCAGTATAAAATGTTCGAGAGACGATGCAGGTGTGTAAACGACGAGCGCTCAAGTAAAACAACAGCGGCTATTTCCGGAAATACCAATCTCTGTCTGTTGATTCCGCCAGGAAACAACAACGGCCAATTCTGGAACTAACGGACTTCGCTCGCTACGCGCGGTCGTTTTGACTTTTTCACTACCATTTCTGCGGATTTTGTCCGTTAAATCGAGAGTCCGTTGGTTTTGCGACCGTTAATGTGGGGTTTTTCTGTATATCTGACTGCTATTGAATTAACATATACTGATAAATTTTTTATGACTTCATCAATTCTTTGAATTTTTATTTTAAGCCAGAATATATTTTTAGATTGTAAGAATTCTTTTTTGAGATAATAATGGTTTAGTGATACAAGTCGTACTAATTAACCCATAGTTGGGGGAGAGGAGGTGGATCCCCAAAGGCTATTTAAGCGTAAGTGAATATAATGAAACAACGGGATCTGAAACTCAGTTCACTGATTAACAATTCTAGACTATTATTCATTACACTAGTAACACATCATAACTTATAGCACGTGGTATTCCTAAGCGGTCACCCACCTAGGTACTGACCAGGCTCAACGTTATTTAACTTCGGTGATCGTATGGGATCCGATATTGGAACGTGAAGTGTCCGTAAACCTTCGATTAATGGCGAAAAGATTAAAAAGTGTAAAAGATTAAAAGATAGAATGATTAAACGTGTAAAGATATACATACTGTATGCTGTACCAAAATCCGCATAAAATGTTCGAAATACGATGCATGGGTGTACACAACGAGCGGTCCATTCTCGGAACGACCAGATTCGGTCTGTTGATTGCGACTGTAAACAACAGAGACAAATTCTGGAACTAACATTTCTGCGGATTTTGTCCGTTATATCAGAGTCCGTTGGTTCCGGGACCGTTAATTCGAGATTTTATTGTATTTGAAAAGTCTTATAACAGGCGATGGAAAATGTGACACAGAAATTTGAAATCCCATTGGAATCGGAAAAAAGATGCCTTCCTAGAAACTAAAGTATTATGAAACAAAGAAAAAGTGGGTTAAACTGCTATGTAATATCAACCTTTCTATATGGCGGTGAATGCTGGACAATCGTCTCTCAGTTGAAGCGGAGTCTTTAGGCAACAAAGATGTAGTTCTACAGAAGGATGATGGAATAACATAGATGGGAGCATGAGTGAGTAATAAGATATTTGTAGGGAAAGTGGAAAAAAAAGGAGATCTACACTAAGTGTAGATCTCTAAGATCACTAAGAACCAGAAAAGAGACAGTTGACATTTCTGGAAAATATACTGAGGAAAGAGGGCTTGGAGAATTTAATACTCACAGGACATGTTGATAGCAAGATGGTCAAGGAGAATAGTGAATAAATTACTTAACGGTAAATGGGTGTCAGAACAAGGGCTGTGGGGGATAAAAAGGAAGCAAATATTGATAAGAGCTATAAAAAGAGTCAGAAGTTGTGGACACGTCACATAAAAGAAGAATAGTTTCATTAATTTGTAATGTCATGAGACACAATAAACTACAATGCATGAAAAAGCAATGAAATTAGCATTGAATGTGATATTATAGAGGGTGTAATTGAATTTAGCATGATACTCGAGTCACCAGAAGCAATCCCATTTTTGGGATGTGCTACCGATCTATCTATGTTTGATTTCAATGTCTTTTCATTGATCTTGCCAATTAATCTCAGGCCACTAATTAACTCGACGAATCAATAAATTTTCTCCTCCTACTCCTCAGCATCCTCGTTACACTGAGCTCCACCCTCAAGCTCCCCTCACACTTCCTCTCTTCCCGCATTTTTTTCTTTCTTTTCTTCACCTCTTTCCTCTTCGTCCTCCTCTTTTTTGTAAAGATATAAAAATATATACATATAATAACAATATATATAAAAAATGGCATTAATTGAAATTTGGTTTACGATTAACAATGTTAAAAAGCAACGTCACTAAATTTCGGTATCATCATTATTTTCTGACAAAAGAACAACATCTTTTATTGAATTTCTATTGGAAAAATGATTTGGGTTTGTTTATCAGACTGGAACAGAGCCCAGTCTATTATGATTATTTTTATGAACATTCTCATTATTTTTTTATTGATTTTTGAAGCATTCATTTTAATTAAATATAAGACAAATTTGGAAAATATGGTTTTAAAAGAAAAGAATTTTTTATGGTTAATATTCTGATATTAACCAATTTGTCTTTCTGGGCTGTATGGTTTTAACACCTGTATTGGCATTGTATAAATCAATATAAACAGAAAGGGATTGAAACTCTCTTTTTAAACATCAGAAATGCATCTAAAAACTCATGTCTTGTTTCCTCCATACCAAAGTGACTTCTTAGTCTATGAACTACTATTACAGACAACACAATGATATTTTCTAGCAGTTTCTCCCAATTGAAAAAACCTCATTGGACCACAATAATTGACACACACACACAATCTTTTTAAAATATATATATGAAAATATATATAATCACACTGTGTATACAGAAGATATAACGTTATTTTTCTAGTGGAAATTGATTCCCATCCTTTGAAATAAACAATTTGCCCAAACCTGGATATAGAGACTTCTTCTTTGGTCCCAACAACTCTCTTATGGGGGGTATTACAAATATTATATATATATATATATATATATATATATATATAAATTTCGTTTTTCCAAGAAAATATCCTTATTCAAAAAAAAAGTCAGATTCCATCATCATCTAATGATTTTTTTCTTTAATCATTTAAGTAAAAGCAATGCAATAAAGGACCAACATTCAATGGGTTTAATAGTGTAAAAAGTAAATATGTGATAAAGAAAATATTATGAAAGGTTCGAAAAAAAACAGGAATCCAGAAGACAAATGATAACGTGGCATTGCATTTTAAAATTTTGAAAATCAAAATTGACTAGATAGCAAAAAAAAAGCCAGAGGGTTCCACAAGCAAGAAATGCAAGATAAGATACTATTTAACATTATTTACATGTATTTACATGTAAGCAATTTCAGCACTAAAATAATGAGACCTTGCTGCCAATCTAGTCTTCTGTATGACATGTCCATTCAGCATGTTAGATCATGGCTCTCAACAATTTTTGTCCTGTGTAGTTCTTAATAAATTTTGTCTTTTGTTATCTCTCCTAAAGGTTGTTCCACCATCCATTTACTCAAGATGCTATGGGAGGTTTATGCATTAGTTTCTTCTGTCCCTCTTACCTTCAATCAGCTTTGTAAGTGTCAAATTTTCCAAGCCCTCTTTCTTCATTATCGCCTTAGAAATTTCAACTTTCTCTTTCTGATGTTAATTGAGATTTTTGTTTTTCATTTTCTAAAACTTTGTTGTTGCTCACATGTTCAGTTCATGGAATTCTCAGCAACCTTTTTGTAGAAACACATTTCTGTTGCTTTGAGGTCTCTTCATCTGTGGGAAAGATGTTCCAATCTAGTACTTTGCTTAAATAATCAAAGTCCTAGATACCAAGAGGAAAGTTCATCAGAATAATTACAATGAAAATATTTACAAGAAAATACAGGGAAGCTACATTGGCAATGAGAAAGTTATAAAGTGATAATCTCATCCTATTATATGTCTTTAAAGTTTATCTTTCATTGTATTTAAAGTTTTCAAGATTGTTTTACATTCTACAATAGTAACAGAGATGATTAATAAAGTATTTTAAGTTGAACTTGTATCCTTGGGCCTGTCTGATATTGATGACACTTCTAATTAGCTATAAAATACATGAGCAAGCAAAAATTAAAATTTAAGTATATTACTTCATTGTTCATTATCAATTTACACAACATTTACTTATCTATATTGGTGGAGATTCAGTTCCATTTCGATTAATATGTGATCGGAATTAATTTTCAGTAACTGTTTAGATCCCAAGAACCAAAGAGATTAGTAATGAAAACAAAAAATGGCCCAAATGGAAAGTCTTTCTGTAGAATGGTATTCGAACGCCAGACTGCTAGAAAATTACAGATATCAAAATGGAGTGCATTATTGCCTGCAGCGACATGCACCCCCCAGCGCAAATGTTCACAGAAAATATCTGGGAGCTCCAATGTAACATTTCTTGCAGACAATAGATACTTGAATATAGAAAAAGTAAATTATTTTTTAAAGACACAAAACTTGATTCATTTTTTAAGTTTAGAGGAAAAATCAATGTAGTTCCAAATTTTGATTTGTAGTGTATATATATATATATATATATATAGATAGATAGATAGATAGATATATATATATATATGTGTGTGTGTGTGTGTGTGTGTATGTTGTGTGTGTGTGTGTAAGGAAGAGGTTATAGTAGTTTCAACGAGAGAAAAGTGTATATTAATAAGAAGAGAGAAACTGCAAATGTTTTTGGTTGTAATATGGATTTTAAAAAAAAAATATTATGTTTTATTTTCCATAATTTTGCAACACGGGTTCCCGGTCTCGTGACCATCATCAGGCAAAAGGGTGGAGATTTCCACATATTATTAAAAATAATTAATTTTTTTCTTTATGTTTTATATTCTCGATATGTGTGTATGTGTGTGTGCATGTGTGTACTGATTCCTTTAATGGGACGGTATGTGTGTGTGTGTTTCTGTGTGTTTGTGTATGTGTGTATGTGTGCAGGTGTAAAGATGTGTTCACTGATTCCTGTAGTGAGACAGTGTGTATGTATGAAGAGGAGATATACATATATACACCCATGCTGACAAAAGGATGAAAAATGAAAATAGATCTAAGAATACACAGGTGTCATTAAAAATAAGCATGTTGATAACTACTCCATCATTTCTCGAACCAATCTTAATGTGTTTTATAACCCTTCACGCAGAACTTTTCACTGCCAGTTCAAGAAAGACGTTTGGAACACTAACGCAAAAAAAAAAAGAATGTCTGATATCGAGAATATTTAATATTTATTTTACTACACGTGTTTCTGTTCTCGCAATCGTCATTTCTACATATTATTAAAATATATTTTTTCTTTGTTTTTCGATGTTTGTTGGGGGATCTCCTTTTTACATAAGATGGACTCATCCAAAAGTATACTTACACACTGAGAGAGAGAATACCTGCTGTTGAGCTACGTCGAGATACAGTCTGACGTTCGTCGAACTCTCTGCTTTGGCAGAGAGGAACCCGGACGAGGCTTTGCTGAAGGGCAAGGTTTCGTCCGGGAGGTAGACAGGCCCTGAACCCGTCTCCAGGCGGGTTCAGTGGGTTTATTTTTGGCCGAGCCTACGGGCTCGAGAAACCCACTTTAAACCCAGCCTTGTGCTATATACATTCCTCGTGGTGGGATATTAAATACCGAGATGCGTGGAGATATATTTGAGATATGTTGACACAGGTTGAGAGATACGGAGACAGACACAGGGTTTTTTCTCAGAGACTTATACAAGAGTCCAGAGAGAGAGAGAGATGATTACGCTTTACTTACAGAGACTTGGGCGAGATACTTTACTAACCCGCATTTTGGACTAGTAATCTTCACTTCAAGTCTGTATTCGGCGTTAATACACTTATTTTTTCTATCTCAATTTTAGCGTTGTTTATTTATTTGTGCAGGATTCCATCGAGGCTTTGCCA